TATAATCAATTAAAAGTATTAATTAAGAAAATAAAATAAAAATTATTAAATTAGATTCAAATGATATTTTAAATCTTGCCTCAATCCTTAATATCTTATGACTACGTGATCAGAGTTGTCGAAACGACTCTTTGTTCGTGAACGTCTCGTGTTCGGCTGGCTAAGCAAACGAGCCGAACGCAAATACACTTTTTGCTCGAACGTGTTCGGCTCGTTTACACCCCTAAATGAAAAATTGATTTAAGTGGATGTTAGATTTGTAAATACCAATATGGTTGCCCCTTTAAATAAAAAAAAAAACAAATATTTTAGGCAGCAAACGAGCCGTTTCCATTTGTCCGCCTCCCTGCTCCTTTCTCGGCTTCTAACGTTTTCCAGTTCTCCTTTCTCCAAGCTCTTCCGTCCTGCACGGAGTGCAGAGAATAATCTGGAATCGAATTCATGGAACTTAACTGAGCTGATGCTCAGAGGTCAATGAGTAGGATTGGAAGCGATATTGGTTAGGGATGGAGATGCTATGAGAGGCGAGGAGTCTTCCCTTCTCTTCTCCTGATCTACTCTGCCTTGTTAATCTGAGGATTTCTTAGGGCTCATTGGATCGATCGGGGTGATTTTGATGGCGAATAAGCATGGGGAGTTTAGCCAGAAGGTCGATTACGTATTCAAGGTAGTGCTGATTGGGGACTCGGCGGTGGGGAAATCGCAGCTGCTGGCGAGGTTCGCGAGGAACGAGTTCACCTTAGATTCCAAGGCCACCATCGGAGTGGAGTTCCAAACGCGAACGCTCAACATTGATAATAAGAACATCAAGGCACAGATTTGGGATACTGCCGGGCAGGAGAGGTATGTTAATGTTTGCGATTTCTTTTTTTTTTTTTTGTGGTCACTTTTCTACTTCATTGTCGTATACCTGTTGATCGATGGTTGTATCATGGAAAAATTAGATTTTGTGAGTTTGATTTTTTGCTGTTTTTTATTTATATTTGAACTGTTTGATGGATATACTTTGCGATTCATTGATTTTGGTGGATTAAGTTTGTTGGATTGAATGCATTACTTGTGCGGCGTGGTTTATGACAAGAAGGCCAGATAAGCGGGAAATTATTTTATACTAGTTTGCTTAGTTTGATTTTGGTCCTACAATTTTTGGTGTTTGATGGATATACTGTGCGCCCCTAATAGCTAAAGCAATGAACTTTGGATTTCAAGGCTAAGAGAGATGACATTAACACTAAGAAGACATTTCAAATACCACATCCATATCAATGGGCATTGTAGTATGATTTGTCCAAACTACTATCCATTTTACAAAATTCTTTGTTTTATCTGCACCTAACATTCTTCTTATTCTTTGAGAAGACTAGCTGATATCGTTAGTTTATTGAAAGTTTAAATCTATTTACTTAGAGCGTTGGAAAGACAGCGAAGGTTAGTGTCATGTATCCCTATTTTTTGAAGAAATTCTCAATTTTATATTTATCTTTGTGTATGCACTGATTCTTTTCAGGCGAGCCAATCCTACAAAGATTATAGTTGATTTTTTTGTTAGTTCGGGTTTCACTTCTTCGATTGAAGAGAAAAATGGTGAAAATTAGTTTGATTCAATTTGTGTATGACTTTTGGTACCAAATCAAATCAAAATTCCATAAAAAAGTAAATTTTAGTACCCTTCATTGCTGAATATCCTGTTTATCTAGATTCTATTAGTGACTCGCCAATAACTTAAAAAAAAAAAAAATAAAGATCTTTCAATATTACATTGCTAAGAAGATGTAGGTGCAATTCTTGTTATTTGCCAATGGATAAGTAATGTAGTATCGAAAGATTTGGTAACTATAGTTTACTTAGTCAGATCAATAAGGTTGAATTTCCTCCTTGCTGTAAAAATTTCTTCCAAATTAAGCACACTTCTGCCTTTCTCTTAAGGTCCAATCTCTTTTTAACCAAACAATATTTTCCATAATTTTGATACCGTTTGCTTAAGGTGGTTATGCCTCATAGAAATTATCTGAGCCATTTGTTTGCCCATTATCGATTAAATTCTATTGCCAATATGCTTGTTGAGTTGTGCACTGTTTATAAGTGAGATTTAGTGAAATAAACGTGATCATGAAGTTACAAATGACTTGCACTTGGATAAAAAGACCATATATTACTCTTTGGATTGATTTAGATCTGTCTTATAAATTATGTGGAGAACGGATGAATGAGCAGAGCAAGTGGAAGCAACTAGTGTTATGTTGCTAAACAAAGATGGCTAAGTACTTTATATTTAGTCTAAAAGAAGTTGAGAAACTCTACATGATCTTTACTTCATAAATAGGGCTTGTAAGTAGCCTATTTTTACCATAAATGTACATATTTTATACATCTGACATGGAATTCAATGTTTTCATTTTATAAATTCCTTTTTTATTTTGATAGGTTAGTGCTGAATATTTTCTTATTGGAAAAATGGGCTAATTTTTTTGATGGCTTAGCTATTGAGATTGATGTAGTCAATTATGTCCTTCCTAGAAGCTGTTTAGTTATATCTCATTTTGTTTAAGAATTTTTTTTATGTTTTATTTTTGAGGGCGGATTTGCAATATGCAGGATGTACACATGCAATTGTAGCTAAAGTGCCTTTTTTTTATCTAGTAATTAGTAAGAGAAGTTTAACTTTCCACTCTTGTATTGATAATACTTCCCATTATTTTCCTTATCCTAGTTAGTAAATAGTAAGACAAGCTTTTTGAGAAATTAAGAGAACTGTAGATCGGCATAGTTATGCTTCAATGGAATACATCCTTGTGGCTAGCTACAATTTTGTTGCTATAGTAGATTTTAGGTTCAAAGCGCTTGAAATCAACCATAAAAGACATAAAATAGCTTGCAGGAACTTAAAGGTACATAAATAAAATGCATTCAATATATAATTCTCGAATGTAAAGAGAATAGGGAGAGGTGAATGCGTTCAAAATTTTCCAAATGCCTTCTCTCGTGCTTTAGTAGACTCGATATAGGGAGGTTTTATTTCATTCGAGTGGTAGTATCAACTTGGCTTGACGGTCTTGATAAGTTGATGTCAAATTGAACTTGGCTTGACGGTCTTGATAAGTTGATGTCAAATTGTTATTCCGATAAGATATTTCTTTTTTCAACTAGCTAAGAGAATTATGGGCTTGGCATAACTTAAGTTGTGAGCGGGGATAGGGCATATTGTTTCAATCATCATTTTTTTTTATGCATTACAATGAGGCAGAAGTAAAACATTTTATTTCATTTAGGGTTTCTTGGAGTTTTGACACCCCCTCTAGCTGACGCTTTTAATGGCGGACCACTAGCTGACACTTGCAATGGCAGCGCAAGGCTACATTGCTTGCCATACGGTGCTTCACAGTATTAGTGGCTATTGATTGGATTTATGGGTCTTTGTCTATCGAATTTTATGAGTTGCTATGCCCCTCATTTATACATTCTTTCAATGTCATATATTCCTCTCTAATTTGGCATGAATTTTGCACTGGTGCATAGATAAGGAATTATTGCCCTATGGAGGACAATGACTAATTTACCCTCTTAGGAGCTTTTTTTAGTGAACCATATATTTGTTTGCACAATCATTCTTGCTTGATAGATTTTTAATTCTTTTTTGGGCTTAAAAATGAACTTTATGTAGTGAATTTTGCTCTTCTAGGATAGATGAGCATTTCTATGTTCAATTGAACCGTCTTGGATTGCCATGCAAATTGAGGGAATCTCAACTTCTAGATGGATTTCAACTTATGTTACAACCAAGGACTATGGAGTTGCTAGTGTCAGATTTTTAGGCATGGTTCTCTATTCCAATAATGCTTCTACCATCCCATGATGCCATCCTCACATGTTTTTTAAGACGGGTTTTTTCAAAACTCGTTAAGTGTTTGTTGAAAGCTTTTGCTTAACATCCATTTATGATGCAACACATGCACATGAGGCAGTTGGATCAATCATGAGAAGCATAAAGAAGACTCAAGTTAATCAAGAATTTAGTTTATTATGTCATAATTTTTATTTGTTTTATATTATATGTGTTTATCTTTTTATTGGTTTATATGGAGAGAAGTAAAAAAAAAACTTTAAATTCTATGTGAATTTAATATTTTAAAATTTATTGGGAAATTATGCAAAATCACATGGGAAGTTAGTAATGGAAAACTTATGCTATTAATTAATTTTTTTTTTTTTTTTTGGATTTCTAAGGCCTATATGCCTATATGGTTGGCCCCTTCTTTCACTCCTTTCAAAAGGAGGGCTGGTCCTTTCTTCCCCTATTTTTTCTCTTACTTTCAATTACTTTTAGGTTTTGTATAATACTATTTATTTATTTATTTATTTTTTTGCTAATGAAAGATGTTATTGACTGAGAAGAAAATTTAGATTTTTCATCCAAGAATTGGAGGCTTGGAAGCTAGCCCAAATAGGTGGAGATTTAGTAATTTTGCTCTTTCCTATTATTTGAGTGTTAGGTTTACTTATTTTGTATTTTTTTCACTCCCTGTGAAAAATTAAGCTTTCGCTATTGAATTCTTATTCATCACTATTTTTTCCTATTCTAATCTCCCACAAAACTAGTGAAATCCTAACATCAAGTGATTGGCCATGGCCATGATGAATCTGACACAGTATTATTTTGTTGACTTTTTGACAAATATATACCCCTTGAAATTTATCAAAAAATAACAAATTCAATCCTAAATTAGAAACATTTATACACAACTAACTGGTAATTTTTATTTTTTTTTATGCCTTAAAACTTCTATAATATCTAACCAAAATCTAGTGGTCTGTTAATCTCCTTGTAGAATTTTATCTCCCACCACTACTTTGAAGTTGTTCCAAACCTCAGGTTATATTTATTGCACGAAAGATTTAAAGTTCTATCTAGGATTTTCTATTTTAGGATCGCAACTTGTTTGGCCGACCCATGACTTGTGGTATCCCTATCCAAACCTTAATCTCTTGCTTTCACACATTTCTTTATATCCTTAAAAGAATCCTTTAGCCCAAGAGAACCCATTATTTTAAGGGAAGCAATAAGTTTTGATATCATAGCACAAGGTTGATGAAAGTGGTAAGCTTTGAATAGGCAATTACATGAGAATGCTTTTCTTTTTTGGAATTTGGGCTAGCTTTGAAGGGCCGTTGGATCAAGAGGGCCAATGGAAGAGTTAAACAATAAAATTTTTTGTCATGGATTCATTGCTTATAAAGAAATACCTCCCCCACAAATTCATGTATAAAAATGGAATGAAAGAACCCATGGATGGCTTCCATAGTTTCAAATGACAATCCCTACATGGATAAAATTATGGGTAGCTATGGTAATTTTTTCGTTTGTTATTATAATTATTTATTTTCTTTTTTTATATAGTTTTGTGTATAAATACTAATTTAATGAACGAACAATCCAAATTTCCCAGCCACTTCTTTTTTACATAGTATTATAGCAAGGTTAGGGCCCTATTTTTCAATTTTTATTTTTCTTTTTAATTTTTCTCTTTATTATGTCCAGTTTAATGTTTTCTCTATGGATTAAATCATCATGAATTGTGAAAATTAGACAAAAGAAGTGCTTTATGGGCTACATGTCTCATATTCAATAGAATGAAAAAATAATACCTAGACTGGTTTCAAATTCTGAAAACATTCTTAAGAGAAAAGGAAAAAATTCATCATCTCATGAATTTTCTCTTAGAGCTGAAAGACTCAAAGTTTGCATTTTGAGATAAAAGATATTTAATGATCATGATAATTATGGAATATTATGATATCTGAAATTTGTGGGTCATCATGTCCTTCACAGTTGCAAAATATGTTTA